TATATTCTGGACGTTTTGCTTATATATAACCGATAAATAGAAAATACTGTGAAATAAAAAGTGCCCCATTGAACAATTAAACATTTTTATTAGAATATCAATAAAAGAGAAATGAGAACCTTGCATCTAACGGTGCAGTGTGTTAAAACACTTTAAACATAAATGTGGTTCAGCAATACAATCTGGACGATAGGTGGTCACCTTTTGGTCCGATTCTTAGCTATTTTTGATCCTGACTGTTTAACATTTTTTTATAGCACTCTGCAAAATTTTCGTGCCAGGTACGCTTGCTCTTCTTTCTTATGCATTTCGTGTCGCAATCTTTGTCGAATAAGTATATTTGACAGCTCTGATGAATGGCACTGTGTAAGATGCTTTGCGAGTGCCATTCTAAACTCTGATACCCTGATTTTTGTGTTTGTTGCTTGTTTATAGAGTATCATCGCGTTTGAAATCGATGTATTTAACAATAACTCTAAAGCTAATTTTATATACCACTTGAAGGTTCTTCTATGTGGCGTAGAATATGCTATCATTTGATCCGATAAATCTACAGCACATTTTCCTCAGTTGTGATCTACCACTACCATTGGTTTATCACAAACATAATTTTTTTGCGGATCTCTGCTATTTCAGCCGAATGTTTCGTCGAAATCATAAAAATGTCACGCTTGTCTCTCCACCTTACTATTATAATGGGCAAATACCGTTTACTAATATCTTTTACACGTTTCAACAGTATATTCTGGAGCGTCCTGAGCGAAACATGTGATTTCGGGGTGGCAGTCAAAGTGTTAAGAAAAAATGAAGCATTTGCATACAGTCACCCACAAGAGTCTTTACATATAAACATACAAACATATAAACAAAACGATGTTATCAAATGACACATTTATTTATTAACATAGAACAAAATAACCATCTTAATCGTTGAAATAGGAAACAGTAGTCATTTTAATTTTAATAAAATTCGCTTTCCTATCCTAATTATCGTAATCTAGATTCAGATCATTCATCTACTTGTACTCGTTATAGCGAAATTTTTAAATTCTCGTTTGTTCCTTGTATTAATTCATAAATGCACTTGCAAGTTATATTCACCAATCTATTTTTCACAAAGTGATTCTATAAATAAATATTATGTATCGACATAGATTGAAGGAAACGATGTTTATGACAATTTTCCTTACTTTTTAACTTATATAATACAATTGATCAATTTTATCTGATCATGTATTAATTGAAAACAGCATCAATATGATATCAAAAACGCTCGCATATATTTAAAGATCGAGGAAACTCGAAATCTTAAAACTCGCTATTTTACAAACTTCGATACTTCTACTGTATAAACATTATCTCTATCGGATTATTGGATCTTCATCGATTACCACCGCTACCGTTTCTCTCAGATAATCTTCTCACACAAGCCGTACTCCCTCTAATCTTCTCAAGAAGCAATCAGTCGATCACGAAACAGGTAGAAAGGGTACGGCTTGTGGAAATCGCTGGTAAAACTCACGAAGGAAGTTACGTGTCACGGATCGATGTTGACGCACTTAAACTTCACCTAACCGACGATTTACGAGCTGACATTTTTCTTTTTTTTTTCTTTTTCTTTCGCTGCCTCCTATCCGCTGAAAGATCGGCCCATAATGAGGCTTAACGATCGCCCCGAGAGCACGTTGACGCGCACCCAAGCTCCTCACGAACCCGACGAAAAATGAATACGTGATTCACGGCGCGCATGCACGCCACCGTTCTCCATCGCGGAGGAAAAACCGGCGCGGGGTGAATCGATATTCGCGGAGCTAACGTCCGTTTCTCTGCAAAGCTGGACGCGTCTGCATCTCTAGCTCTTTTTGCCTATCCGCTTCCCACGTCTGCACTCACCATTTGTATTCTGTTTCGATTTTTCTCTCATTAACCCCCCATAAGTATTTCTATTTTATCTGTTAATTTCGGTGGGCCACATCTGCTCGTGTTAAACTTGTACGGGATATAAATTTCGCTCGCGACATTATGGAAAAGTATGGAAATTGTCGAAAGATTTTATAGGCACGGGGAAACATGAAAATCGGCTTAATCCTTCTCTTCCTCCCATTTTTTTCACAGCTGTATTTCTTCAAAAATCTTATTCCTTTTTGGAATACTTTACTCGTAAGAAGCGTGAAATACGCAAAGATAGTGAGACGATTAGTTTAAACAACTGTGTGACATAACGTAGGTATTTCTGGTTTCTTTGAATAATTACAATAAAAATGAAAACAAAATTCTTTACACGCGCCCCTAGTGATGTTCTCAAAGCGACAGTTAAAGGTTAATAATCATATCGTATATGATTTAATAATTAGTAAGTCATTAATTCAATTGTTGTTATTTCTATACTCAGAGGTAAGATCAGAGTAGTTATTATTTTATCGAATGGATAAATCTATCACACCGTTCTGAGCCAAAAAAACCTTTATTGCACGCGTTTACAAAAACTAGGGATAAAAACAAATACAAAAACTAGGGATAAAAACAAAAAGGTATCTTAAGCCTATCGATTAAATCTATTGATTGTAACTAGGATCATCCTCCAGTTACTATTTCTTATAACTAACGCATTTGCATATGGATGGCGAGCACGAACTCGCGTTATCATTTTCAACATCAATGATTGTAATATAGCATTTTTTCATATACCTAAATGTATCAAGAGACGCGTTAGACTGCTTAGAATATCCTAAAACAAGAAGCAAAAAAAAAAAAGATCAAGATACGTTTCCTGTAATTCCAATTTAATCCGAATCACACAACAGCCGACTACTTTGTTACTGAAACGGGTTCAACCGTGGAATTCGCCTACATCGTTTCTCGATTCCATTCGATTGAATATGTATGAGAGTGATGAGGCATTGCTCGAAAATACAGAAGAAAAAAAAAAGAAAAATGTTGCGCCGATCCAGAGTCGCTTAATAATGCACGCGAGATCCGTTCGAGACATTAGGCTCGTTCCCCTATAACTCGCCGCTAAAGATGAAATTGGATAGATAGGTCTGTACAATGTTTCGAATGGTTACAACGGTGTATTACCGTAATAGCAGCGATCATAGGATCGTTGCCGCGGTTCCGACGCGATTGATTTATCCAGTAGCCGAGAAACGATCGTAACCACGAAACAACGTTTCGTTTCTATCCTTCGAAGAAGGAACAGACGAAGACCTAGAAGTTTGCAGCATCGGTCAACCAGAACTTGTAGCAATAACAAGAAAACACGAGACGATCAATAGAAAAGAGAAAGAACGGAGCAACGGATCGAATTGGCGAAGACGGACGCTCGGTTCGCGGGAGACTGTTCGCGAGGAAAGCGGCGAGTGTTCGAACGGAGGAAAAAATATACGAGCGCGAGGAGAAGGAACCCCCGGAGGTAAGAGAAGCTTAAACGTGGTAGGAGCTAAGAGCCGGATCATCTAAGAGCAGATAGAGGAATCAGAAAGAACAGGCAGAACGTGCTGAAGACAGAGGAGAGGACGGTGGTGGAGCGAGATAAAAGGAGAAGGGTTAAAACTGGGAAGAGAGGCGAGGAGAGACGACGACAATCTGGAAAGCCAAACGCGATAATGTCTGGAGGGGATAAATCGACCACGAGCAGGAAGAAGATGAACACCGTCCGACTAAAAAGGACAAGCGAACAGGGGCAGCGTACTGGATCACCGGACGAGCGGATAGAGGAGCCGAAGAAGTAAAACGGAGAACGTTTCGTCCAGGTAGAAGAAAGAGGTAGGAATTACTTAACGAAGAGAGAAAGACAGGATAGGTACGGATAAACACGAAGAGAGACCAGAGAGACGGGAGGTTTGCGACTGCGAGCTGGTAAGTGGGGACACGATGCAGCGGAGGCTCGATGTTGAAAGAGGAACCGAGACCGTTGGGAAAGGTGTTCGAACGAAAGGAAGAGGGAGAAGCTGGCTTGAAGAGGGGAAACCAGGTTCCCAGTTGCCTATCAGCAGTTGCTTTTACGGAGTGGTGGAAAGCTGGGCGTTACACGGTGCGGAGTTCTCGCAGCAGCCGGCAGATGTCGAATGGTCGCGCCCCTAGACAGGGTCTTCACCCCTGAAAAGGTCAACTCAGGGGCGTAGCGGCCGTGGAATCGACGCCCAGAAACGCCCATCGTCGACCCTCCCGCCGCTTCCTCGCCGC